TTAGCCAGAGCTATATGGAAAGATAAGGAAATTAAAGGCATCCAAATTGGCAAAGAGGAAATAAAACTCTCCCTATCTGCAGATGATATGATCCTATATGTAGAAAACTCAAAAGACTCAGTAAAAAAGCTACTAGACCTCATTGGAAGATCCATAGAGATTTACAGTGTTGGAAGCCATACACAGGATTGCTATGAGTCAGAATTGGATCATGGGCAGTGGGTTTCATTTTTTGGGTTTTTAAAAGTGGCACTGTAGGATAAACACTGGAATAGTAACTCTAAGGTTGGCAGTTCAAATCCACTAACTGTTTTCAGAAACCTTATACAGGGTTGTTATGTGTTGGAAACAACTGGGCTGGCACACAACAACAACAAAGGTATGCTAAGCATTCTGGAATTTCCTTTTGCCTCTGTTCTACTTCTTGAGATTCCCAACCCATCCAGTCATCTTCTCCTGCATTCTCCCCTTTCACCTTGCACAATATTCAAGATGAAGAGTTGCTAGACTTGGCCACTAGAAAGCCATTCCTCCCCACTCTGGTCTCAAGTGCTAAGGTATTCCAACAGGTGTAGCTTTCTCTAGATTCAGGTCCTTCCCTTCTGTAATTGGCTTTGTTCTCAGATTGTCTGCCTTGTAGAACACAGTTCAACTTCCATCTGGTCAGTCACTCATTTACTTCATGCCATTGAAGTAATTAATGATTATTGAAGCTGGAGTTAATACTAGATGATACCAATTTAAATGTTTGGGGACTGGTGTATCAATCTAGAGACTTTTGAGTAGATTATTTTACCTTACATAATTCTCCTATCCTTTATTTTAAAAAAATAAAAATGCAAACTGTTGAATTAATTAGTCAACATGGGTTTAGAAATCTCACTACATATATTAGCCATACGTTTCTGTCTCTTCAGGAGAACTTATCATCTTAAGGGGTACAGAGATGAGCATAAAGAAACTGAACATAGGAAAATGTGCCAAGGTAAATGACTACTGCATGCCAAAGAGGAAAAAAATCCATCTTAGCTTTCATTTGTTTTTGTTGTTAAGAGCCATGGAGTCAGTTCTGACTCACAGCAAGCCTGTATAGGGTTTCCGAGGCTTAAACCTTTGCAGAAGCAGAAAGACTTTCTTCCATGGAGCAGTTTGGGGCTCAAACTGCCAACCTTGTGGTGCTCACATACAGAGTCACTGCACTCCCTTAGTTTTCATAGTGTCTAAGAAAAATGTGTACGGGTGGAGCTCACATGTGTACTCTAAGAATATCCTTTCTCAGTACTGGCTCTGGATATACAAAATTTAAGAAGTTGACTAGAATATCTAAGTAGGGAGATACGAGAAGAGGGTCTCAGGATGAAGGATTAGTTGAGGCTTAGGAACAAGTAACTATCAGGAGAAAATCCGACCTGCCTTCCTTGCCCTGATAGCTCCAACAATGACAATTGATTGAATGTGACAGGCAGTAGGAACTCCACAAATTGTAAGATTCAAATGTGGTTGTTGTTGTTAGGTGTCATCAAGGTGGCTGTGACTCAGAGTCACCCTGTGTACAACATACCCTGTGTACACCACCCAGTTCTGCACCATCCTCACAATTGTTGCTATGCTTGAGTGTGAATGGAATCAGGAACAAATACTGAAGGCAAATGAATCATCTTTGTATATGTAAATGAACCTGTGGTCTTTACCAGTTTTGTTGTTGTTAAGTGCCATTGAATTGGTTTCAACCCTGTATAGGGTTTTAGAGGAGGAGATGGTGGGTTTGAACTGCTGACCTTGTGGTTCACAGTCCTGTTCTGATCCTACAGTACCACAGCAGAAGTCCTCTTTACTCATGGTGGTGGTGGTGGTGGTGGTGGTGGTGTGCCGTGGTGTTGGTTCTGACTCAAAGCAACCCTGCATAGGGTTTCCGAGGCTGTAAATCTTGATGGGACCAGAAAGCCTCATCCTTCTCCCACAGAAGGACTAGTAGTTTCAAACTGCTGACTCATAAGCACTACACTACCTGAGCTCCTTCTTTTCTAGTAGTCGAAACATTTTTAGTCAGTTTCTGTCTCTGCCCTTTCTTACATCACCATCACTCCCACGCATGCCCTCTTTAGCTTTCCTAGAAGAAGATGCTTACCTTCTGTCTGTCTTTAAATCACATCTTCCATAAGGTTTGCTTTTGTAGTCCCATCTCAAATCTGTCACCCTCTACAACTTCATCCTAACTTTCCAGTCACCTATGCAGTGTGCTCCAAAGACCAACTGCATGCCAGTCATCTGCTTGACCAAATGCAGATCCCCTGCATGACTGAATCAAAATGGGGTTTAGGAAACTTCATGTTTAATTGACTCAATTTTGCCAAGGAGGGATCTCTGGGGCACATTTGTAGTGGAGTAAATATTCCCCATTAAGCAACCCATGTATGAGAGTCTAAAAAATCTATTAAGAAACTGTTCCTATTAAAAACAAAGAAAGAAAAGAAACTGTTCCTATAAACTAACTTGTATAAACAATGAGGCTAATTAGCTTTCCATTTATCTATTCATCTTGTTGTTGTTGTTAAGTGCTGTCTTTGTTGTTGTTGTTAAGTTGGTTCCAACTCATAACATTGAATTGGTCCCAACTCATAGTGACTCTGTATAAGGTTTCCGAGGAGCAACTTTTGGGTTTGAACTGCTGACCTTTTTGGTTAGTAGGTCAAGTGATTATCCTCTCCTGTTTTTGTTGTTGTTTAATGTCATCAAGTCAGTTCATACCAATAGCGACCCTGTATAGGGTTTTCACGGAGCTGCTGGTGAGCTTGAACCACCGACTTTGGCGTTCACACTGACTTTGCAGTCTAGCACATCAACCCAAAGTGCCACACCACAGCAGAACTCTGGTTGTTATCCTCTCTATACATGACTTAAAAAGCTATCCAGACGATTGCACCCAGCTCTTTACTAGGACCAGAAGGAAGGAATAGAAATGAAGTAAATGTGTGACCCTTCTGTTCAAAGCCAACGATTGTGGGGATGGCACAGGATCAGGAGATATTTTGTTGAGCAGC